CTTCTAACCCAACCCTGACCACTCCAGTCTATCACTGTCTGCCTCCTCACTGGACTGTGACAACTTCGTGAAGACAGGGCCCAGGCCTGTCTCAGTCACACAGTGTCCCAGCACGGTCCAGCACCCTGCCATGCTGGGCCAGAGCAGGCACTTGGTGTTTGTGGATGCACCCACAGACCATCTCCCCCGGAATTCATGCACTTTGACTCTGGCCCCTTCCCACACAGGCCCTGGCCCCAGTGCTGGAAGGATACATGTGCCTGGTCGATCATGCACTTGCATAGGGTGAAATCTGTGTGCGGCAGGTTGGTGAGGGCCTTCAGCAGGATCTGGGCGGTGACCGTGGTCTGAAAGAAGGCTGGGTTGAACTGGTACCTAAGAAAGAGAACAAGAGACATGGCCACATGTGGCACCTCCAAGTCCCCAACCCTCTCCAGGTGCCAGGCAGGCTGTCCACTGCTTTATTCTGGAGTTTGGGAATTGGACACGCCTGGGTTCCAATCCCAATCCCAATGCTTCCCGGCTGTATAACCTTCACCTCCCTGAGCCTACTTTCCTCCTCTGTGAACAGAGACAGTTAATGCTCACAACCACCCAGTGGGGCAGACACTGCTAAGTGATTCACAAACAAATGAGAACAGCAGCAGCGGTCTGGAGTAGTGGCTAAGGAACCAGAGCCAGACTGCCTTGGTTTAAACTTCCCGCTGAGTGACCCTGGACTGCTTATTTATGACATGAGGAGCAGACAAGAGAGAGATTAAGAGGCACTGAAAGGCTAAAGAGCAGAGAAAGGAAACTGAGGGGCTGTCAGTTTCCTCCCTTGCAAAAGAGGACAACAGAAGGTGGGGGGGGGGGGGGTGGGGGGTGGGTGTGGGTGGGTGGCTCAAGCCTGTAATCCCAGTACTTTGGGAGGCCGAGATGAGCGGATCACCTGAGGTCAGGAGTTCAAGACTAGCCTGGCCAACATGACAAAGCCCCGTCTCTACTAAAAATACAAAAATTAGCTGGGCATAGTGGCGCATACCTCTAGTCACAGCTACTTAGGAGGCTGAGGCAGGAGGATTGCATGAACCTGGGAGACAAAGGATGCAGTGAGCTGAGATCATGAGATCACATCAAGGCACTCCAGCCTGGGCAACAAGGTGAGACTCTGTCTCAAAAAAGAAAAGAAAAGAAAAGAAAAAGGAAAAAAAGAAAGCAAGCAAGAAAGCACCCAAGTAAAATTAACTGGGCATGGTGGTGCCTGTAGTGCCAGCTATTCAGGAGGCTAAGGCGGGAGGATCGTTTGAGTCCAGAAGGCTGAGGCTGCAGTGAGCCATGACTGTGCCACTGTACTACAGCCTGGGCAACAGAAGATCCTGTCTCAAAAAAAAAAAGAAAAAAAAAAAAAGTGGAGGTAGGAAGAACCCACATGTCCATCAAGAGCCAGAAGAGATCATTAGGACAGTCACACAAGTGACACACTGAAGAGGTATACATCCATGAAAACAAACTGGAGCCACATCAAACAAACAAACAAACACACAAAACTGGATGGATCTCACAAACCCAGTGATGAGTAGCAAATGGCAGATGCAGAAGAGTTTGTGCTGTATCTACTCCATCTATATCAAGTTCAAAGCAGGGAAACCTGAGCTGAGCTGATTCAGATGGATGCATGTATGGTAAACCATCACACAAAGCCAGGCCATGAGAATATGGGGGAGCAGGGGAGTTGGCTGGCACAGAGCATATGGGGCAAAAGGCCTGTGGCGCTAGCAACACTTTTGCAACATAAATGGCGATTATGTAGGCTTTCATTTATAATGATTTGTTAAACTACATGTTTGCTTAATGTATTTGCCTGTACATGTGTTCTGTAATTATTCTTTATTTTTGAGACAGGGTCTCACTCTGTTGCCCAGGCTGGAGTACAGTGGCATGATCTTGGCTCACTGCAACCTCTGCCTCCCAGGTTCAAGCAATTCTCCTGCCTCAACCTCCCAAGTAGCTGGGACTACAGCTGTGTGCCACTGTGCCCAGCTAATTTTTTGTAGAGACAGGGCTGTGCCATGTCACCCAGATTGGTAATTCTTATTTATTTTATTTATTTATTTTTTTTGAGAAAACGAAGGGTCTCACTCTGTCCCCCAGGCTGGAGTGCAGTGGCACGATCACGGCTCACTGCACGCTCGATCCCCCAGGCTTAAGCAATCCTCCCACCTCAGCCTCTCAAGTAGCTGGAACTACAGCCACACACCACTACATTAACTAAAACAATGGTTTTTTTTTTGAGACGGAGTCTCACTGTGTAGCTCAGGCTGGAATGCAGGGGTGTGATCTAGGCTCACTGCAACCCTTCTGGGTTCATGCCATTCTCCTGCCTCAGCATCCCAAGTAGCTGGGACTACAGGTGCCCTGCCACCATACCCGGCTAATCTTTTGTATTTTTTTTTTCCGTAGACATGGGGTTTCACTGTGCTAGCCAGGATGGTCTTGATCTCCTACCCTCGTGATTCATCCACCTCGGCCTCCCAAAGTACAGGCGTGAGCCACCGCGCCTGGCCAATTTTTAAATTTTTGTATAGAGTTGGGTCTTGCTATGTTGCCATGGCTGGTCTCAAACTCTTTGGTTCAAGTGAGTATCTCGCCTCAGCCTCCCAAAGTGCTGGGATTACAGGCATGAGCCCCTGCAGCCACCCTAATTGATTTTTTATTATTAATTTATTTTTGAGATGGAGTTTCGCTCTTGTTGCCCAGGCTGGAGTGCAATGGTGCCACCTTGGCTCACTGCAATCTCCGCATCCTGGGTTTAAGCGATTCTCCTGCCTCAGCCTCCCAAGTAGCTGGGATTACAGGCATGTGCCACCACGGCCGGCTAATTTTGTATTTTTTAGCAGAGATGGGGTTTCTCTATGTTGGCCAGGCTGGTCTCAAACTCCCTACCTCAGGTGATCCACTCACCTTATCCTCCCAAAGTGCTGGGATTACAGGTGTGAGTGACTGCGCTTGGCAACTGATTTTTCAAAAACCATCCCTCCTCCTGTCCCAACTTCCTTGGCTTCCTAGTCTTGCACACCAAGAGATGTTTTTTTTTTTGTTTTTTTTTTTTTTTTGAGACGGAGTCTCACTGTGTCACCCAGGCTGGAGTGCAGTGGCCGGATCTCAGCTCACTGCAAGCTCCGCCTCCCGGGTTTACGCCATTCTCCTGCCTCAGCCTCCCGAGTAGCTGGGACTGCAGGCGCCCGCCACCTCGCCCGGCTAGTTTTTTGTATTTTTTAGTAGAGACGGGGTTTCACGGGGTTAGCCAGGATGGTCTCGATCTCCTGACCTCGTGATCCGCCCGTCTCGGCCTCCCAAAGTGCTGGGATTACAGGCTTGAGCCACCGCGCCCGGCCCACACCAAGAGATGTTGCATCATGCAGGATACCACCAGCCACCCCCTTGTCCTGTACTGGGAGTGGCACCCTGCTAGCTGCTGAAATGGGAGTGCAGACAGACAGCCAGACACTTACAGCTTCAGGACAGCCAGGTTGGCTTCCAGATCATAGGCATTTTCCTTGGCCTGCGTCTCCACATAGCGCTCCAGGGTGGCCAGGTTCTCAGGATTGTACCTAAAGGAGAACCAAGATAGGTGAGCAGACAGGAGACAGAAGCTGAGGCCAGTCACTTTACAGTCGCAGGGGCAAGTGTAACCTGCCCCTCCCACCCTTCCCCTCTAAATCTGGCACTGGTCACTTGATCTATCCAGGTAGTGAATTATGTCCAGTATAATCTCTAATAAAACTTTTTCATATCCCAGACTTCTCACCTAAGCTTTATACTCCATTGGAGCCCTGGGTCTTGCCTAGGATACCTCCCCAACCTCTGAGCCAGTCAGTCACTGCGGCTTGTGCATCTGGCCTCCCGAACATCTCTGTTACTCACCCCTTCCTCCCCTGCTCAGGCCTCCACCCTGATCCAGCCCCATCCTCTCCTGCCTACCTGGATGCCTACTTCCCCCATGTCCGTCTGAACACTCTAGTCTTTGCTTCCCCCATTTCGGTTCTAACCTCTCCCGGATATCACTGTCTGACGTCAGGTTTGTCTCCCTCATGGAATGGGAACTCAGACCGTGAAGGCATGATCTGCCGCTGTCTGATTCGCCTGTGGTTCCCAGCATTGCCTAGCACTGACACTTTATTTCAATAAACATGTGAATGAATGACGTAAGGAGCAGAGAAGGGAGAGATTCAGAGGCACTCAAAGGAGGCAGGGCAGAGAAGGAAACCTTAAGGCAATTCACGAAGAGACTGAGCGGTACCAAGATTCTTTCGCTTCTAGGCCTTTGCAGGGCTGTTTGTTTCTTTCTTTCTTTTAGAGACGGGGTATGACTGTTGCTCAGGCTGGTCTCTAACTCCTGGGCTCAGGCGACCCGCCTGCCTCGGCCTCCCAAAGTGCTGAGATCACAGGCGTGAGTCACCGCCCCCAGCTCAGTGGCGTTTCTTTAAGCATCTCCTTCTCCAGGAGGATAGAGAAACCCCACCCCGCGGCAAGCCCAGGACCCTGACCACCCCCTGCTGCCTCCTGAAAACCCTCCCCTCCGCCCCGCATGGCCAGAGCGCTCCCTCCGACCGGGCTCAGACCTGTCGATACCCTTGAGCAACTTGCCCACGTTAGCTCTCATCTGTTCAAACATCGCCATGACTTCTGTCGCTTTCCACAACCAGGGCTGGAGACTAACACCGGCCCGGCACGGCGTCCGCGAGGACTGGAAAAGGAAGAGGTGGTGGAAACGGAAACGACGTCATTGTTGTCGCTCCAGCTCCCTGGGGGCGGTGAAGGGACAGGCTCTCGCAGCAGCCGCCGCGCTTTCCGGCTGCCACGTGACTTCTTCCTCGCAGGGGCAATTAGCGCGTGCGCATTCGCTCCACTCAAGCGGGACGGACAGCGTGAGAAAAAGCTTACTGTATCCCAGTGCGCAGGCGCCTCTCTTGGCGAGGGGCGGGGCTAAGCTTTTCCCGGGCCTCACAGACCCAGTTCCAGTGCCGGGGGCGCGGGAGCGTGCGCGCGCGAACTCATTGGGAAGCAGTCGGAGCTCTGGCGGCGTGCGCGCGCGTTGTATTGCGCGCGGCCATAAGTCCCCGGAGCTGTGCGGGAATGCACGCAGCAGCCCTCCGTTTAGGCATTGGCCAAGTCCCGAGGGAGATGTTCTCTGAGGTCCCTCTCGCCTCAGGCCTGGGCGCATGGTGCAGGATCCTGAGCGCCCAGGATCCAGTTTCAAGTCTCGGCCCTTGGTCCCCAGCTCCAGGAAGAGGGTCCCACAAAGCTATTGTGCTCTGCCGGGCAGGGGCTGGGGTGAGGGCTCCTGGACTTCGCCGGATCGCGCCCGGTCTCCATTAGGTTCCGGTCTTGGAGCTGAGGGCGAGGGTCCCATCTGTACTGCCATCAATTATATATCATGTATAGGTTTTGTACACTGCAAGCGTAGAAAATGCAGTTATGTGCCATGTATGTGGAGGTATATGCGCTGGGTACCTCCACGTGTGTACTGTGCACACAGGTATCTAGGTAGATGCACATCTACACGTCTACATGCCCGCGCAGTGCAGAGGAGGTAACCCAAGTGCATGTATGTGACAGGTGAACAGGCATGTACACTGCGTAGTCATCCCTGTGCAGACTTGCCGCCTTCGGGTTGTGGCCAAACCTTCAAGCACCCAGTAGAGGTTTAGACACTACCTAGGAGACGGGGGCGGGGGTTCTAAGGCACCCCCCTCCAATCCAGTTACCATTAAGATCATTTGCATCACATTTACATCCAGCCCTGGGCCTTGGAGGTTGAGGATGGTCCCTTGGGTCCCAAGACAAGCTGCCCCTCAGAGGCTCTCAGCGCCCAGGGGACAGGGGGTGGAGCCCTTTGCACAGCCGTGCAGTGCAGCTGGGGCAGGAAGCGAGAGTGGGGAGGAGGGAGGCCACAGCCCGCGGAGGCAAGGCGGGTGCAGGGCTTCTGGGGACAGAGGGAGGTGCCAGAACTTGAGCCCTGAGGCCCTGCTGGCCCCTGGGCGCAGGCCCAGCTCCGGCCCCCAGGGATGGACCTCGTGGATCCGGACATTTTCAATAGAGACCCCCGGGACCACTACGACCTGCTGCAGCGACTGGGTGGCGGCACATATGGGGAAGTCTTTAAGGTGAGAAAGCCCCTCTGTCCCCAACACCCTCAAACTAGTGGCCTTTAAGGCAAGGCCTCGGTAGGGAGGAGGGTGCAAGAGGGGGTCCCAGTCCTTGACCTTGACTCAGGGATGCTGAGAAGGGACGCTGGCAAATGGAGCCTGCCTGACTGCCGACTTCCCCTTTGCAAGGCTCGAGACAAGGCGACAGGGGACCTGGTGGCACTGAAGATGGTGAAGATGGAGCCTGGTGAGGAGGGAACCCGGAGCTCCTTCCCCACATCCCCACCTTCACCTCCTGGGACACTGGGATCACCTCCCTCATAGCTCTCTCCATGCGAGCTGCCTTTCTCTCCCACCCTCCTCACAGATGATGATGTCTCCACCCTTCAGAAGGAAATCCTCATATTGAAAACTTGCCGGCACGCCAACATCGTGGCCTACCATGGGAGTTATCTCTGGTGATGAACCTCAGACCCACCCTGGCACCCAGCCCAGCCCCTAACCCAGAGCCTCCATTTCTTGATGGGGGTACCCTCATTTCTTTTTTTTTTATTTCTTTTTTTTTCTTTTTTTTTGAGATGGAGTCCTGTTCTGTTGCCAGACTGGAGCGCAGTGGCATGATCTCGGCTCACTGCAACCTCTGCCTCCCGTGTTCAAGCAATTCTCTGCCTCAGACCCCCGAGTAGCTGGAATTACAGGCGTCCACCACCCCACCCGGCTAATTTTTATATTTTTAGTAGAGATGGGGTTTCACCATCTTGGCCAGGCTGGTCTTGAACTCCTGACCTTGTGATCCATTGGCCTTGGCCTCCCAAAGTGCTGGGATTACAGGTGTGAGCCACCGTGCCTGGCCTTGGCACCCTGAGTTCTAACCTTGAACTTCCATTTCTCACCATAACCCGGCCTCCCATCCTGGACCCCCATTTTTGACTGGGCTAACCCTACCCTGATCCTCACTCCTAAGTCCCACTTTTCTGACCAGAGCAGCCTCTAATCTAATCTCCAATCCAGAATTCCCATTTCTGATCAAGAGTACCCCAAACTGATCCCTTCATAGTAACTGAATTTGAAATCAACTCCCTAGAAACGAAGCTCTCATCATTCTGCCCTCTGGCTCCCCCAGTTCCACTCTCTGTTCCTTTAATATAAACTTCTAAATTCCCTGATCCCCAAATTAATATTCCAGATGTCCCAATACTGACCTCTGCTCCCCGGAACAGATGCCCTGGGCCCCTCTATCCCCTCCAAATCTCCACAACCCGTGAGATCTCTGCCCTACCTCCTAGGTTGGCGTGGGACGGCAGAGGGGTCCCGCCCAAAGGTCTAGGTTTGAGTTGACTTGCCCCGGAACTCACATTTCCTCTCTGAGCCTTAACTTCCTTGTCTGTGAAACGGGAATGAAACCACCTCACTCTGGTAGACAAGGAGAGATGGAGTGATGAGAGCTGTTACATTAAAGTTCTTACTGATCTAGAACAAGACAGAAGCAAACCAGGGACTTTCCTGCAAATAATAATGTATTACTGCTATTATTATTCTTACTCTTGAAACACTGCAGGTTGCAGAAACTCTGGATCTGCATGGAATTCTGTGGGGCTGGTTCTCTCCAGGACATCTACCAAGGTTAGAGAAAGCACAAGGGGACCCAGGCAACCCTCCCACGCCCACCCCCCAACCCCGACCCGAATTCACCTCTTCCGTCTCTGTGTGTGTATCTCACAGGAACTGTCTTTCTGGGCCATATTTCAAACTCCTGGGCTGAGCTGATCCTCTTGCCTTCAGCTGCTGAAGTGTTGAGATTATAGGCTTGAGCCACCGTGCCTGGCTTTTTAAAATTTAATTTAATTTAATTTAATTTTATTTTATTTAATTTTATTATTTTTAAAAATATAACTGCTGGGCCTGGTGCGGTGGCTCATGCCTGTAATCCCAGCACTTTGGGAGGCTGAGGTAGGTGGATCACCTGAGGTCAGGAGTTCAAGACCAGATTGGCCAACATGGTGAAACCCCGCCGCTACTGAAAATACAAAAAATTAGCCAGGCGTGGTGGCAGATGCCTGTAATCCCAGCTACTTGGGAGGCTGAGGCAGGAGAATCACTTGAATCTGGAAGGCAGAAAACCTCTGATTCCTTCCAACCCTAGACCTCAAATGTTAGAAAAGGAAGGACTTCATTGAGAAGTCCTCAGGGAAACTGAGGTCCACAGAAAGGAAGTGAATCCCACAGCTGGTCTGTAAGACCTAATGTCTGACGGCCTCTCTCTGTCTCTCTGTCTTTCCGCCTGTGTGTTGTTCTTCCCTCGTCATCCTCTGAGTCTCTCTCTAAATCTGTCTCCCCACATTTTGGCCTCTGACCTCTGTCTTTGTCTCATTTTTTTTGGTTTTTTCAATCCTGTTCCTTCCATATGTCTCATGTGTGATCTGCCCCCGTTTCTCTGTCTCTCTCTGTCTCTCTCTGTCTCTGTGTCTCTGTGCCTTTCCTTATTTTGCAAAGTCATATCATGCCCCTGCTCAGAGCCCTCCTACAGCTTCCATTTCTCTCAGAGGAGAAGCCCAGACTCCTCATCAGGGTCCACCCCAGGCTGGCCGACCTCACCTCCTCCCACTTTCCTCCTCCCCCTCCACTCCACCCCACCGCCTTTGCTGCTTTCCAGACCCACCAGGAACTGTCCCACCTGGGACCCTGCACTTGCTGTGGCTGGTCCCACTCAGAGTGGGAGCCCTCACGTCTTCACCTGCTGTCACCTTCAGAGAGCAGCCCTGACTGACCACCTCTGTGAAATGTCATAGCCCCTCCTACGTGCCCCTTTCTTGCTGTATGTTTCTTCCTATTGTCTTTCAGCGTCTGAGGAACTACATCATATTCTACTTATCTTGCTTACTTTCTTTATTTTTTCTTTTTCTTTTTCTTTCTTTCTTTTCTTTTTCTTTTCTTTTTTTTTTTTTTTTGAGACAGAGCCTCCTTCTATTGCCCAGGCTGGAGTGCAGTGGTACGATCTCGGCTCATTGCAACCTCCACCTCCTGGGTTCAAGCGATTCTCCTGCCTCAGCCTCCTGAGTACTTGGGATTACAGGCATGCACCACTATGCCTGGCTAATTTTTGTATTTTTAGTAGAGATAGGGTTTCGCCATGTTGCCCAGGCTGGTCCTGGACTCCTGACCTCAAGTAATCCACCCGCCTTGGCCTCCCAAAGTGCTGGGGTTATAGGCATGAGCCATCGCGCCAGCCCTATTGGCCTCTTTTATTTGCATCGCTGCCTCTTTCTGTCGCTGACCACCCCACCATCTCCCCCTCCCACTGGTCCCATCCTGTTTCCCCTCTCCCTATGGCACCCTCTTAGCTGGTGTGGGGGGGGCAGGACTCCCCAGCCCAGGTTCCCTGGCTCCCATCCAACGCCTGGCCTGGCCGGGGTGACCTTTGCAGTGACAGGCTCCCTGTCAGAGCTCCAGATTAGCTATGTCTGCCGGGAGGTGCTCCAGGTAAGGAGAGGCCTGGGTATTCTGGGGAGAGGAGAGGAGGGGGGCCCCACTCCAGCCCCCAGACACTCACAGTCCCCTTGTCCACCCTTCTCCCCAGGGACTGGCCTATCTGCACTCACAGAAGAAGATACACCGAGACATCAAGGTGGTCTGGGGGTACAGGGATGCTGTTGGGGGGTGGGGCCCAGGAGATGGGCGTGGCATTTCGGGGACTCAGGGATCAGGGTAGTTTGAGCTGTGGGGAAAGAGTCTCCGCAGCCTCCCATAGCCCCTCTCATTCCCAGGGAGCTAACATCCTCATCAATGATGCTGGGGAGGTCAGATTGGGTGAGTAAGGCTGGGGGTTGAGCAGGGGGGCTGACTGGGGGGCTGGAGGCGCAGTGGACCCCAGATCACTATGTCTCCCTCTGCTTCCAGCTGACTTTGGCATCTCGGCCCAGATCGGGGCAACGCTGGCCAGACGCCTCTCTTTCATTGGGACACCCTACTGGTGAGGGGTGCCCAGCGGGCAGCTAGGGGTGGAGTGGGGCTCAGTGGTTTTTCCCACCGTGGTTCCCCGGGATCCTCCTTCCTGGCTTCGTTTCCCTGTCTCTTCCTTTCTCCATGGAAGATTCTTTCATTCTCTCTGGGTGTCTCTTGAGTTTTCCACTTTTCTCTCTCGTTTTGTGCCCTTTTCTGCCCGTTGCTCTAGGTGCTTGTGTTGGTTTTTATCTTGATTTATCTGTCCCTCCATATCCGTTTCTGTCTCTTTCCTCTAGCTCAGTTTGTAGCGCTCTCTGTCTCTCTGTTTCTGTCTCTGACTCTCTTCTCTGCCTCTCTGTCTTTTCATTTTGTTTTGTTTTTAGAGACAGGTTCACTGTGCCTCCAGCCCTACTGTGGCCCAGGCTGGATTGCAGTGGCACAATCATGGCTCACTGCAGCCTAGAACTCCTGGGCTCAGGAGATCCTCCCACCTCAGCCTCCCAAGTAGCTGGGACCACAGGTGTACACCATGACACCTGGCTAATTTTTTAAAAATTTGTGTAGAGATGGTGGTTTTGTTTTTTTTTTTTTTTTCTTGAGATGGAGTTTTGCTCTGTTGCCCAGGCCAGAGTGCTGTGGCACAGTCTCGGCTCACTGCAACCTCCACCTCCCGGGTTCAAGCAATTCTCCTGCCTCAGCCTCCAAGTAACTGGGATTACAGATGCCCGCCACCGCACCCAGCTAATTTTTGTACTTTTAGTAGAGACGGGCTTTCGCCATGTTGGCCAGGCTGATCTCAAACTCCTCACCTCAGGTGATCTGCCTGCCTTGACCTCCCAAAGTGCTGGAATTACAGGCAAGAGCCACCATGCTCAGCCGAGATGGGGTCTTGATAAGTTGCCCAGGCTGGTCTCAAACTCCTGGGCCTAAATCATCTGCCTTGCTTAGCCTCCCACAGTGCTGGGATTACAGGTGTGAGCCATCGCGCCCAGTCTGCATCTCCGTCTTCATCTGCCTGTGTCTGTCTTTACTCCTGTCCCTCTGTCTCTCCGTCTGACTCTGTGTGCTGCATCTCCCCTCAACTCCTTCTCCTTCTCTGCCCCTCCTTCCCTTCCTGTCCCCATGCCACCTCTGGCTCTCTGAGTGTGTCTCCCCCCAGGATGGCTCCAGAAGTGGCAGCCGTGGCCCTGAAGGGAGGATACAATGAGCTGTGTGACATTTGGTCCCTGGGTATCACGGCCATCGAACTGGCCGAGCTACAGCCACCGCTCTTCGATGTGCACCCTCTCAGGTAGGCAGGTGTGGGGTCCCCAGGCCCAGAGATCCTGTCCAGCCCTGGCCCAAAGCCCACCCTCAGCTTCTGCCTTCCATCCCAGGAACCTCCAGTTCAGGGATCGCCACTTGAGCCTACCTTGGCACATGCTGCAGCTCTATTTTTTAAATTTAATTTAACATTTTATTTTATTTTTTATTTTTTAAGACTGAGTCTTGCTCTGTCACCCAGGCTGGAGTGCAGTGGTGCAATCTCAGCTCACTGCAACTTCCATCTCCCGGGTTCAAGCTATTTTCCTGCCTCAGCCTCCCAAGTAGCTGGGACTACAGGTGTGCACCACCACGCCTGGCTAATTTTTGTATTTTTAGTAGAGATGGGTTTTCACCATGTTGGCGAGGGTAGTCTCAAACTCCTGACCTCAGATGATCTGCCCACCTCAGCTTCCCGAGGTGCTGGGATTACAGGCGTGAGCCGCTGCACCCAGCCTATCTTTTATTTTAATTTTTATATATTTATTTATTTTTGAGATGGAGTCCCACTCTTGTCACCCAGGCTGGAGTGCAGTGGCACGATCTCAGCTCACTGCAACCTCTGCCTCCCAGGTTCAAGTGATTCTCCCGCCTCAACCTCCCAAGTAGCTGGGTTTACAGGCAAGCGCCATCAAACCTGGCTAATTTTTGTATTTTTTGGTAGAGATGGGGTTTCACCATGTTGACCAGGCTGGTCTCGAACTCCTGACCTCAGGTGATCCACTTGCCGTGGCCTCCAAAAATGCTGGGATTACAGGTGTGAGCCACCATGCCCATTTTTAAAATTAATTAATTAATTATTATTATTTTTAGAGACAGGATCTTGCTCTGTCACCCAGGCTGGAGTGCAGTGGCACCATCGTAGTTCACTTCAGCCTTGAATGCCAGGGCTCAAATGATCCTCCTGCCTTAGCCTCTCACATAGCTGGTCCTACAGGCCCACATTGCCATATCCAGCTATTAAAAAAAAATTTTTTTTTTGTCTCACTATGTTGCCCCAGCTGGTCTCCAACTCCTGGGCTCAAGCTGTCCTCCCGCCTTGGCCTCCCCAAGTGTTGGGATTACGGGCATGAGCCACTGCACCTGGCCTTGCCGTAGCTCTACCACGCCATAAGCGGCTTCCCTTAGGAGAGGTATCCTGGTGCACTGTAAAACCCGAACCTCACTTCCATGCTGTTTCTCACTTTGCCCTCTGCTGACCGTAATGCTACTAGGAACCCCTCAAGCCATGAGGTCTGGCTCCCTTGAAGGTCTGAACTCCATATCCTTTCCCTACTATTCTAGAGTTCTCTTCCTCATGACCAAGAGTGGCTACCAGCCTCCCCGAATGAAGGAAAAAGGCAAATGGTACGAGAGAGTGACAGGAGGGAGGGTGAGCGAGGGCGGGGCTGGGGCTGGGTGGCCTGATGGGAGGGTCTCTGGTCCCCTCACCCAGAACCTGGCTTCTTCTTCCCAAGGTCCGCTGCCTTCCACAACTTCATCAAAGTCACCCTGACTAAGAGCCCCAAGAAACGACCCAGCGCCACCAAGATGCTCAGTGTAACCCTCCCTTCCCCAAGACCCTCAGCCCAGAATTCCCCGGGGCCTTCCACAACTCCCGAGGACATGGATAACTTCGTTCCATGGAGTCCCCGTGGCCTTCCAAAGTCCCTAATGCCTCAGAATTTCCCAGGACCACCGTCCACCACTAGAGACCCTCTGGGCTCTACCCCAAACCTTTCCCAAATCCCCTGAGTTGCCAGAACTCACAAATTCCCAAAGGACTCAAGACTTGTTCCTGAGTGTCCTCTTGAATCCCCAGGGAACCACAGTCTCTTCCAAGACAACTGTGGAATTCTCCCAGCCCTGCTCTGAGAAATGTAAATTCTAATTCCTAAAAATTTCTTAGACTCCCTAGGCTGGCTGGGCACGGTGGCTCATGCCTGTAATCCCAGCACTTTGGGAGGCTGAGGCAGGTGGATCACTTGAAGTCAGGAGTTTGAGACCAGCCTGGCCAACATGGTGAAACCCCGTCTCTACTAAAAACACAAAAATTGGCCGAGTGTAGTGGCGCGCGCCTGTAATTGCAGCTGCTTGGGAGGCTGAGGTGGGAGAATCACTTAAACCTAGGAGGCGGAGGCTACAGTGAGCCAGGATTGCGCCACTGCACTCTAGCCTGAGTGACAGGGAGAGACCCTGTCTCAAAAAAAAAAAAAAAAAAAAATTAGCTGGGCATGGTGGTACGAGCCTGTAATCACAGCCACTTGGGAGGCTGAGGCAGGAGAATCAATTAAGCCCAGCAGGTGGAGGTTGCAGCGAGCCTAGAGTGTGCCACTGTCTGGGTGACAGAGTGAGACTCTGTCTTAAAAAAAAAGAATACCCCAGACCTCTGACAGTTCCCTGGATTTCCCCGCCCTCTCCATCCACTGGCAGCTTCTCCCCAGCTAGATTCCTTTAGTCCAGTCCCCAAGGCTCTGTACCAGCTCTCTCTGTCCATACCAGCCCTCTCTATCCACTCCAGCCCTCTGGATACGGACACCTCTTCCCTCCCCCAGCATCAACTGGTATCCCAGCCTGGGCTGAATCGAGGCCTGATCCTAGATCTTCTTGACAAACTGAAGAATCCTGGGAAAGGACCCTCCATTGGGGACATTGAGGATGAGGAGCCCGAGGTGAGCGCCTTGGCTGACAAGAGCACTGGGGACCGCTTGGTCCTTCTCAGGCTGTGCCTGCTGCCGGCAGTGCCTTCCCGCTGCCTCTCTTAGGGGGAGAACAGGCAGGGAGGATGGGGAGCTTGGTACAAGGCTGTGTGCCCAGAGGGTTACAGGAAAGCAGATGGACCCCGGGCAGGGTAGGGGGCTGCTTGGGGGTCCTGAGCCCTGACGTGGCTGCCCCTCTGCCCAGCTACCCCCTGCTATCCCTCGGCGGATCAGATCCACCCACCGCTCCAGCTCTCTGGGGATCCCAGATGCAGACTGCTGTCGTGAGTAGAGAATCCTTATCTCTGGGGACACCTGACCCTATAATAGACCTAAGAGACCCCCTTCCCTTACCATCAGGCCACCAGAGACCCTCAGTATCATCTGATCCTATAAGAGACCCCAGACAATCTCAACAGCACCTGACCTACAAAATGACCGTAGAGGCTGGGCGCGGTCGCTCACGCCTGTAATCCCAGCACTTTGGGAGGCCAAGGTGGGGGGGATCATCTGAGGTCAGGATGTTGAGACCAGCCTGGGTAACAGGGTGAAACCCCGTCTCTGCTAAAAATACAAAAATTAGCCGGATGTGGTAGTGCGCGCCTGTAGTCCCAGCTACTCAGGAGGCTGAGGCAGGAGAATTGCTTGAACCTGTGAGGTAGAGGTTGCAGTGAGCCAAGATTGTGCCACTGCACTCTAGCCTGGGCGACAAGAGCGAGACCGTCTCAAAAAAAAAAAAAAAAAAAAAGCAAGATGATCATAGAGTCCCCAGGGAGACCTCAGAAATCTCATCAGAACCTCAATACCCAAACGGATCCCGAAAACCTCTGTAACTATATTGAGCCCCCAGCTTCCTGATCCCAAAGCTTATTTATTTATTTATTTATTTATTTATTTGTTTTTTTGAGACGGCATCTTACTCTGTCACCCAGGCTGGAGTGCAGTGGTGCGATCTCGCCTCACTGCAAGCTCCGCCTCCCAGGTTCATGCCATTCTCCTGCCTCAGCCTCCCGAGTAGCTGGGACTTTTTGTATTTTTAGTAGAGATGGGGTTTCACCATGTTAACCAGGATGATCTCGATCTCCTGACCTCATGATCCACCCGCCTCAGCCTCCCAAAGTGCTGGGATTACAGGCGTGAGCCACCACGCCCGGCTATTTGTTTATTTTTCTGTGACAGGATCTTGCTCTGTCCCCCAGGCTGGAGTGCAGTGGCGTGATCACAGCTCACTTCAGCCTCAAACTTCTTGGGCTCAAGGAATCCTCCCACCTCAGCCTCCTGAGTAGCTGGGACTACAGGCTTATTCACCACATGTGGCTAACTTTTTTTGTTGCTGTTATTGTTGCCCTGGCTGTTTGTTGTTGTTGTTGTTGCCCTGCCACTCTGTTGCCCAGGCTGGAGTGCTGGAGTGTAATGGTGCGATCTTGGCTCACCGAAACCTCTGCCTCCTGGGTTCAAGCGATTCTCCTGCCTCAGCCTCCCGAGTAATTAGGATTACAGATGCGCACTACCATGCCCGGCTAATTTTCGTATTTTTTTTTTTTTAGTAGAGACGGGGCTTCACCCTGTTGACCAGGCTGGTCTTGAACTCCTGACCTCAGGTGATCTGCCTGCCTCAGCCTCCCAAAGTGCTGGCATTACAGGCGTGAGCCACCGTGCCCAGCCACTTGGCTAATTTTTAATCATTTTTTGTAGAGATGGGTTCTCGCCAAGTTGTCCAGGCAGGTCTCAAACTCTGGGTTCCAGCGATCTACCCACCTCACCTTCTGAAGTACTGGGATTATAGGCATGAGCCACTGTACCCGGTCTTGATCCCAAACTTGACCCCCAAATGAGGTCCCTGTAAACCAAGACCCCTTTCCCTAAGGGACAGTTCCCTGAGATCCTTTGCAGTCCCTAAGATCCTGACTGCAACCCCCCTGCCAATTCTACTCTTTCTGTTCTTAAGCCCATCTCACTACCCCTTGCCCCCATCTCACAGTGGGTTATCTTCCCCCACACATCCTAGGGCGGCACATGGAGTTCAGGAAGCTCCGAGGAATGGAGACCAGACCCCCAGCCAACACCGTGAGATGCTGCCCCCAACTCCCCACCACACCACCTGCTTCCCTGAGGCCACTGCTGACCCTTTTCCTACCCCACAGGCTCGCCTACAACCCCCCCGAGACCTCAGGAGCAGCAGCCCCAGGTCAGGGACCCCAGGGAGGATGGGGAGGGGGCTGGAATGTGGGCAAGGCCCCCAAGACTCATACCCATCACCCTTCAGGGAGCAACAGTCAGAGTCTTCCGACGATGACTATGACGACGTGGACATGTAAGTGAGGCCCTGCCTGCAGCTCCACAGGCCCCACCTCAGCCTCCACCTTCCTACAAGCCCCTGATGTGACCTTTCCTCCACTCCTGACCCTGCTGCACCCCTGCCTGTCTTCTAGCCCCGAGCCCTGAGCCCTGACTAGACCCTTGATGCAGCCCCTCTGCCCAGCTACCTAGACCCTATTCCCTAACCACCTCCCTTAACCCTTCACCTCCAACCCCTGACCCCCAACCTGATCCCAGCTCCAGCTCCAGCTCCCACTTTCCTTCCACCTTTTTTTTTTTTTTGAGACAGAGTCTCACTCTGTGGCCCAGGCTGGAGTGCAGTGACGCAGTCTCAGCTCACTGCAACCTCGGCACCCCGGGTTCAAGCGATTCTCCTGCCTCAGCCTCCTGAGTAGCTGGGTTCACAGGTGTACCTACCACGCCTGGCTAATTTTTAATTTTTTTGTAGAGACAAAGTCTTACTATGCTGCCCAGGCTGGTCTCGAGCTCCTGGGCTCAAGTCATCTTCCTGCCCTGGCCTCCCAAAGCACTGCGATTACAGGCATGAGCTACCATGTCCGGCCTGGTTATTAATCCTTTAATCCTCAGCTCCAGCCAGAACCAGTCATCCCTTAATCCTCCTGACCTCAGACCCCAGTCCCAGGCCTCCAGCCCAGAACCATGCCGTCTTCCCTGGGTCCTTGTTCCCCAGGCCCCCAACTATTTAGCCCATCTTTGTGTTTCAGCCCCACCCCTGCAGAGGACACACCTCCTCCACTTCCCCCCAAGGTAAGGCCCTGGGCCAGAGCTGGGAGGATAGGGCCCCAGGGCCACTGGGTGCCAGGAGGCCAGGTCCTTAGATGCTGGGATACTGGGATCTCCAGGGCAGGGAATCGGGGAGACTAGGATGGTGGCTACATTGGGATCTGGAAGTGGTATCCCTCAACCTCAGGGGGGGATTCAAAATATTTAGCCTCTTGGACACTGGTCAGTAGCTGGTCCTAGGAAGCCCCTGCTGTGTCCAACATTAACCCATCAGTTTCTGAAGTGTGTTGATGTCCGGGCTGGGGGTGTCCGGGGAAGGCTGGAGGGGGCGCAAGATGTTGTGGGGGAGGGTCAGAGCCATGGCTGTTAGTTCTGGTGGAGGCAGGGACTGGAGTTGCAAAAGGGTGCCCTCTCTGAGATCATCTGATGTATTTCCCCACACTCTGTTCCTGTCTCCAAAGCCCAAGTTCCGTTCTCCATCAGACGAGGGTCCTGGGGGTATGGGGGATGATGGGCAGCTGAGCCCGGGGGTGCTGGTCCGGTGTGCCAGTGGTCCCCCACCACACAACCCCCGTCCTGGGCCTCCCCCATCCACCAGCAGCCCCCATCTCACCGCCCATTCAGGTAAAGGGACAGGCTAGGGTGGAGGGTGGGAGGAGTGGGGGGTCTTGGGGGCTGATTTTCCCCTAACCCCTCTCAGAACCCTCACTCTGGAACCCACCCTCCCGGGAGCTCGACAAGCCCCCACTCCTGCCCCCCAAGAAGGAAAAGATGAAGAGAAAGGTGAGGTTCAGCTCTGCTGAGGACTTGTACCTCTGGACGGGGCTGGGGATGCCTGGTGAGGTGGGGAGGGGGTGGCAGGACGGACAGTAACAACAGGTGACATTTGTTGAGCACTTCTCTGTGCCCTACACTGATCTCCTGTCATTACATGGCATAAAGCTTTACAGAGTGAAGAAGATATCACAGAGACATTATCCCCCATTTCACAGATGGGGAAATTGAGGCACAGAGAGGGTAAGTGGCTTACCCAAGGTCATATAAATACCTCTGAGGAGGCTGAGGCAGGATCGTTGTTTCTGCCTTTTTTTTTTTTTTTAAGACAGAGTTTCACTTGTTGCCCAGGCTAGAGTGCAGTGGCAGGATCTCAGCTCACTACAACCTCCGCCACCCTGGTTCAAGTGATTCTCCTGCCTCAGCCTCCGGATTAGCTAAGATTACAGGCATGCGCCACCACGTCCAGTTAATTTTGTATTTTTAGTAGAGGCGGGGTTTCACCATGTTGGTCAGGCTGGTCTTGAACTCCTGACCTCAGGTGATCCACCTACCTTGGCCTCCCAAAGTGCTGGGATTACAGGCA